AGAGCCGTGAGCCTTAATAGGTACGGGCAAAGATTCAAGAAAACAAGAAGGAACGGTTACTCGGATCTTTTGATGATTTGAAGAGACATCGAAAGAATGAACCTAGTTAGCAAAAAAGTACAGATATGTATTATCTGTAATTAATGAGCATCAATGATGGGAAACGTTATAGAATCTTCACGAAATAGATACGATTGTCTTCCTGAATTGTAGAATATTAGGACAACCATGTAATTTAACTCATAAGGGAACTAGGCTTCAATGGACCAACGCTTGCGAACGGAGTTTCCAGGCCTTAAAGGGCAGATTAACTTTAGCACTAGTTCTAATGCTCCCAGAAGGGACCGATGGTTATGTGATCTATTGTGATGCTTCAGGTGTTGGCAAGGTTGTGGCTTATGCTTCTAGACAACTAAGAAAGCATGAGAAGAACTACCCGACCCACGATTTAGAGTTAGCCACGTTGATTCATGCACTAAAGATGTGGAGGAACCACTTGTATGGCATTCATGTTGATATCTATACGGATCATAAGAGCCTCCGGTATATCTTCAAGCAAAAGGAATTGAATCTACGTCAAAGGAGATGGTTGGAGCTACTTAAAGACTATGACATAGATATTTTATACCATCCGGGGAAGGCGAATGTAGTAGCCGACGCCCTCAGTCATAGATATATGGGTAGCATATCGTATTTATAGCCATAAAAGAGGGGAATAGCCCATGAGGTTCATCAGCTAGCTAGTCTTAGAGTTCGGTTACTGGACTCAGGTGACGTTGGAATTACTATTCAGGATACGGCAACATCCTCTTTAGTAAAGTAAAGGAACGCCAGTACAAGGATCCTATGTTAGTTCATTAAGGGATACCTCCCCTCAGAAGGAGAAGACACCATTTGAAATTACAGAAGATGGGGTCCTCAAATATCGAGGACGATTTTGTGTCCCTAATATTGCAGGGCTACGTCGGCAGGTTATTGGATAAACTCAATATTCCCGTTATTCTATCCATCCAGGAGTGACAAAGATGTATCATGATATCAAGGAAGTATATTGGTGGGATGGAATGAAAAAGGATATAGCGGAGTTCATTGCTCAATGTCCTAACTATTAGCAGAATAAAATTGACCATCAAAAACATGGTGGATTATTGTAGGCTATGGAGATTCCAACTTGGAAACGGAAGTAATCAATATGGATTTCATCGTAGGCTTACCCCGTACCCAGCGTAATTTCGATTTGATAGGGGTGATTGTTTATAGGCTTACAAAGTCAGCCCATTTTCTGCCCGTTAGAACTACATATTCCTTAGAGGATTATACGAGGCTTTATATTAAGGAGATAGTACGCCTGCATGGTGTCCCTGTATCTATTATCTTGGATAGAGGAGCTCAATTTACAGCTAACTTTTGGAGGTCCTTACAAAAAGGATTGGGGACTCAAGTAAGTCTTAGTACAGCATTTCATCCCCAAACAGACGGACAAGCTGAGCGTACTATTCAAACATTGAAGGATATGTTATGAGCTTGTGTAATACACTTCAAAGGTAGCTGGGATGATCATCTACCACTTATTGAGTTCGTATATAGTAATAGTTACCATTCCAATATTCAGATGGCTCCATACGAAGCTCTTTACGGACGGATGCGTAGGTCGCCTATTGGGTGGTTCGATGTTGGGGAAACTATGTTAGTAGGACCAGAATTGTTATAGCAGGCAATCGAGAGAATTAAGCTTATACAGGAAAGGCTATTGGTAGCTCAAAGCCATCAGAAGACTTATACGGATAATCGACGACGAGACTCGGAATTTCAGGTGGACCACTGGGTATTCCAAAAAGTTATCATCGATGAAAGCTTTCATGAGATTCAAAAAGAAAGGAAAACTAGGCCCTCAGTACCTGGGACCATAGAGGATCATACGCAAAGTAAGCCAGGTAGCATATAAGTTAGACTTGTCTTCGGACTTGGAGTCTGTACATCCAGTCTTTCATGTGTCTATGCTCCATAAATGTATCGAAGATCCTTTCAGAATTGTGTTAGTTGACGACGCTCAGGTCATAGAGCAGCTATCCTATGAAGAAACTCCCATTGTTATATTAGACGGACAGATTCGGAGATCGAAAACTAAAGGCGTAGCTTCGGTGAAAGTACTTTGAAGAAACAATAATTTGGAAGATGTGACTTAGGAGGCCAAGGAAGACATGAAGTCTAGATATTCCTACTTATTTACTCCTCAAGAGAAGGATCCAACTGAGACGTCATAACCATAAGTTACGTGTATGAATTCTTGTGTTGGGTTATTAAGCTTCTACGGGGAGAGTTAGTAGTGGTGTTGTTACAGAGACGACCTTGCCAAAGTTATATAGTTCACGGGAAGTTGAACATTCGAGGACGAATGTTTCTAAGGGGGGAAGGATGTTACATCTCGCGTTTTCGTACGTTAAAAATTTTATTTTCAGCTAACCGACGTAGACTCGAGGATGAGATCATCTTGACATTAACGTACTTACGCTATTTATAACAAGCAATAAATAAGTGTTATGAAAGATAAAGGGTTACACAGATTAAAGAAAATGAGTTTCATTGAAAGTGGACAATTTGTAATAAAATACAGGTCGAGCAACAATACCCAATAATTATGAACTAGTACCATGCGAGGTACCATGTGACCATGATAGTATAATATATAAAGTATATATGAAGTATTTTAAAAATAAATAGAATTTTAAGTAATTTGAGGCAATCTTTAAATTATACGGGTAATGGATTAATTACCAGATAACAGAACATTACCCAGTTGACTAATAAGTGGATAAAAAATTAAAAACCCACCACCACCCCATGTGGCAAGAAGCCACAACATTGAAAGATGACTAAGTAGTCATTGTTACCAAATGGCTAATTAGGAAGATGATTAAGATATGACTTACATATTAAGTCTTAGCAAATAAGACTTGGGATCAATTTTAGAAACTTAGTAAGCAATTCAATAGAAAGACACAATCTGCCTTTGGACTTCATTTCAAAGACGTTGAAACAGAAGCATATTAAAGCTTCACCAAAAGCAATTTTATCCAAGTTCTACACAAATCCAACAAAAACTTTGGAACAAAGCTAAAAATTTCGTTCCAATTACATTTGTTCAAATAATTCAAGTGAAGAATTTCGTTCCAATTACATCTTATTCTGTCAAGAATTTCATTCCAATTTCAAATCCAAGTATAAATTCCGTTCAATAATTTCGCAGAAGCAAATTCTTTCAAATAATTCAAGAAACATGTATGTTAAGGCTCTCCTTTCTTTTTTTTTTGGCGTGGTCCAAATTATATTGAAGAAACGAGCAAACACACAATGTCCATGAATTACTCTATTCATAGAAATACTAGGGGTATCTATATTTGTGATTTCCCATATGAATTATTATTATCTTCTGTTAATGGGTCTCAGAATGATACACAGTGGAAAAAGTTTATCCGGAAGAAATATTGAAATTATTACGTATTTTTCATTTATTCCACTCATTTATACATGTGCAATGACCCATGACCAGATGTCATTATATACATGTATATATGTAAATATATGTATATGGGATATGAAAAAAGGTTACGGCATTATATACGCACCACCATCTGATCAGTGGGTATATGTTGATGATGTTGCCCACAGTGGCCGAGACGATATAATGGGATGCCCTCAGTGGCTTGATGATATTATGTACACCCATACCTATGCATGACACGACATTCATATGCACGTACATGACATTATAAACGTTTCAGAATTTATACAGTTATTCATATTTAAAGATGTGTTTCTATATTCCATGTTTCATCTATGTCTTTTACGTACTAATTTTCATGCCTTACATACTAAGTACATTTTTTGTACTGACGCCCTATTTTACGGGGCCTGCATTTCATGCCCGCAGGTGCAGGTAGGCAAGCTGATAGTCACCCTTCTTAGGATCCCTGATCAGCGAGAGTTGGCATGCTCCATCTGATCCGGAGCTACTTTTGATTTTGGTACAATACGTTTGTGTATATATATATATGGGTATGACGTGGCTCAGTACCGTCTTTGTACAGTTATGTTTCTATTAGAGGTCTATAGATAGTATGTATAGTTAGGTTGCATGTGGCCTTGTCGGATTTCAGTTATTGGATGTGTAGTTGGCTATGGAAGCCTTGCCGGCTCGCCCACTGTATTATGCATGTATACGTGCATATGCCTTGATGGTAGGTTTCCTTCATGTATGTTAATTCTGTGATGCAGTAGATGTTATTCAGGTTCATATCTTAGACGCATGCTTAGGGGTGTTTGACAGGTAGGACTCAGGCACTCATCGCGGCCCATCGGTTTGGGTCGTAGCAATTTGAATGTGCAAACTGTCTACTCTCTTTGCTTTATTGTGAGGGCACATGATTTCGCAATGGATATGTAATGGTATTAGACTTCTCGGTCATGGTGAGTGTTCAAGCCAAGTATACTTTGTGACATTGAGTTGATTCTTAAGTCTAGGATTATCATGAGAATTTTGTTTATATGGGTTGCAAAAGTTTGGCATTAAAAAGTGGAAAGTGTGTGGAAGGTACATATGCTAGAGCTTAATTGTTGCTATCAACCAAAGTCATCGGTGTAATGTGCTTAACTGATATATGATCCTCTAAGTTGTGTGCTTGTGGTTGTATTTAGAGGTGGCATTATTGGTGTAGTTTTGGTTCAGTCGAGGACGAGCAAAAACTTAAGTGTGAAGTGGTTATGTATGGCTAAAAACACATATAGTGTGATGCAAATTTCCTAACATTTTAGTATAATAATAGTGATGCTTAGAGTGCATTGTGACGTTTTGTGCCTAATTTTGTTTTTTGCTTGTGTAGGAGTGATTGGAAGAAAAATAGAGAAAAAAATAAAGTAGTGGCATAGCTAGTCAATACCCACTATAGCACGGAATTCCAATGTTGTTACTAGTGCCTAACATCTAATATGGCACTTAATTTCAGTTTTATCCCTAGTGCCCAACACTCACCATAGCACCCAAAGTAAGGGCCACAAGCAGTCTGGCACACCCAGCACATTCTAGAGTCCAACGTTTCTCTGTTTTTCTTGAACTTGGTTAAAATCCTCCGGGACTTCTCCTACATATATAAATGTCCCTTAAACATAGTTATTGAAGGGAGTTCGACCCTGGCATAGGAGAAATGCTGCTAGAACAATTTAGGAGCCAAAAATCACAGAGTTTTTCTTTTTTTAATTGGGTCTGTGACACACCGATTGATAGGCCTAATGAGAATGTGTATTCTACATTAGATTGAGTTTGCTTACTCAATGCAGCATTTGCTTTGGTGTGTTGGGTGGAGTTGATTTTATTCATGCCTTGATATATTTCATGTGTTACTCTCTTTTGGTATGATGGTTTGTGAGATTATTCCGTTTTTTGCACGTATGTTGTGGCCCTATTTAGGCCTTGTCATGATATATGAGTGGGATGACTGAGATGCTGTTTTACTTATTGCATCGTAGTTGTGCTTTCCTTTTCGTAGCGCATTATGCTATCCATCTCTCCATAATTATATTATGCACTTTACGTGCTTGTTGTTGAGACACACATTCTTGGTGAGTATGAGAATTATTGCCCAATAGTTATTCTCATGTAGATTGATATGTGTGGATCGGGTTTCACCACAACGATATTATGTGTGGATTGGGTTTCATACTACAGTAGAGTTTTGTTGAACATAATTAATTATTCTCATTTTGTATGTTTTGTTTCTCGCCTATATTTGACCCCGAAGTGGGTGAAAAGGCTTCTTTGATGGTCGTATGGGTGAATATTAAGAATAGCCCACCATCATCCAAGAAGTGCAAATCAAGCAAGGCGGTCACTAGCGGTCCTTCTTCAAAAGGCACAAGCCAAAAAGTTATGTTGATATAATCCTCAAGCAAATAGGTTTGATGTTTGACTTATTTGTCTTGGATAAAATTGATGAACAATCTGGTGATATAATACCTCGGTGATCAAATTTGCATCCGTGATCACCCAGGAACTCCTACCCGTTATTCAAAAGGACTGCAGATCGATAAATATATCAATTTTCACAGCATTAATATTGATGAGTAACTCACTATCTATCATCTCGGACACTATTTTGTTTATACTTACCATTTCACTATCGGGTTCTCACTTCCCATAGACTCGGTCAATCAAGATACATGGTGGAGATATTGGATTTCCTAGCTCAAACAGGTCTAATAATCTAGAGGTTAGTTGTCTATCTCTACTAGCTATCCACTTTAGCTTACGTGCCATTTACCTTGTAACATCTTATTCACCTTTTCCCCCTAAGATTTACTAGGGTGGTACACTCACTGTGAACCATCGGGGTATGATGTCTCTGATCATTAATTGTAATGACGAGCGTGAATATAGGGGTTTAGATAGATAAGTCATAATATCAACCCTGTGTCTCATCAATTCGGAGAAGATTCCTTTTTCAGAGAAGTGGAACCCTAACCATAAGTACCCTTTCTTAAATCTTCTATCTATGTTATCTCATGGGTTCCTCTCACTCCCTTCTTTTGGATTGTAGTTATTCCCCTTGAATTTATGGATCGACGATATAGAAGAGCAGGTGTCCTAGATCATGAGGGCTTTTTCCATGGCAGTCCTGACTTAGAAAAACATTGGTTTTGGCCTTAAGCTGAGAGTAAAAACCCACAGACTTCAACTTCATGGTCCCTCGGTGAGAAAAAGAAAAAGCGCGAGAAGTGATAACCTCCCCTAGAATTTCCAGAAGCTGGGTGACTCCAGTGTAGCACTCATTAAGCCTCCTTCTATTAGTTCCTCTTTGAAAAGAAAGAGGATAGCTGAGAAAAAAGATAAATGTTCGAAGATTGATAAGAATTGTCCCCAACTGAGCCATTTGGCTACTCGCTACCATCATGGTGAAGAAGTAGAGAAAAATAAGGTCATGGTAGAAGTCAATTCGTAAGAGTATACTTAACCCAGATTTGAGAAGTTAAACCCTAATCTGGACAAGGGTTCTGAATTTCATATTCCCCAAGGGCTACTTGATGAGGGGATGTATCTTATCTAGATCTTGTAATCCAGAAGGAGGGGTGCTCAAGATCGTTCTCAAGACCTTCTGGATCTGCCCTAAATAATCTCTTCTCTTCCGAGTCACATGGTCAACACGTTGTGACAATGAAGCGCATGCTTAGGATACTTTCACTGGACCTTCTGTTGATCCGAGTGAGCATACTATTTTTTTCACCCTACCTAACAATGTTAACCTTAGAGCAGAGCCTCGCCATGTAGATAAGTACCTTTACTAAATTTCTAGTCCTATCAAACATGAACAGAGGGCATAGTATGATACAAAGAGGTTGATGACACAGTTGACAGATAGAACCATCAGGGTATGCTTTACTTTTGAGATTGCTTTCGGTTATTGTCTTGCACTCATAAGTCATTCACAATTTATGTTTTAATTTCAGCATGAATGGTTGTATCTAAAAGCTCTAAAGAGGTATGTACGGATAAGGCCAAATTTAATAAGATCAAAGGGTTGAAAGCTGAGGTCGAAGGGCTCAAAGCAGAAAAATAAGCCTTGATGCTAAGGACAGAGACCACAAAACAGAGTTCGGAGAGGCAGTAGAAAGAACTCTAGGGTATTCATTTTATGTACATACAAGATCTTTCCAAAGCCGATGAGAAGATCCGAACTCTCACGGATGAACTGGCTAAGAATGAGAAGGTTGAGCTTCAATCTGTAACGGAGCATTCCCGGATATAGGACAGAGAGGAGGAACTGGAGTTTGTACTTTCCCTTTTGGATGAACTTTTCCAATATAGTGGTGCCGAGAGAGCTGAATTTCAAGAGGCTTATGATGCGTTGGACCAACGACTCCTACAAATAAACAAAAAAGCTAATGTTAACAAGAATTGGGTTTCTTTAGAATCCCGACTAGTGTTCCCCATGAGGTTTATGCCGCGAAGTCGGATATTGAAAGGGGAATCATGGATCATGAGGGCAAATAAAGAACCTCAGACTGTCTTAGGTTATCCTTCTCCCGACACTCGAGAATACAACCTTGATATAGGAGAGAATAGTTCAGGAAGAGACCTGGACGATATTGACGGAAGAGAAGAGATTTTGGAACATCTATTTTCTTTACCTCTCTCGGCCACTCTACTTCCGGACGTTCTTCTTCCTTAAGACTTCCAGACCGACCCTATTCCGGAACCCATAGATAATAGGCCCAATACACCTTAGATGCCACCTTTTGTACATCCCATTTGTGGGATTATCATGAATGAGAATTTTGTGACAAGTTTGTTGCTTTGAATCTCCTATGTACATTTGTTCTCGCTTTGGATATTTCATACTCGAAATATTTTTTGTAATTTATGTCCCATCGTATGAACTTATAGTTTCGGTGTCGTATACTGTGTTTGGGGAAATTGCTCAAAGTTGTTAAGTACTCAACATGGATGATCACGCCCAACTATGACTTATAAAAAGGACTAAGCGGTCGTTGCAAATATAATCCGGTTTACAAGTCCGAAGTCGAATCCCACAGAGAACTAAGGACTAGCTACAACTGTTCACTATCACCAATAAGACAAGCTTGAACAATTCCTAACTTATAGATATTTATATTTTTGTGTTTAACTAATTAACTAATAAATTAAAATAGTAAATTAACAACTAAAGATACTAAGGGTTAGAGATAATATTAAGGATGCCTAGAGTTATGATTTCCCCAATTGTCGGAATCTTTCCCGCTAGGTCTTCTATAATTTTGCCTAAGTATTCTCTATCGATCATGAGCGCTCTGTGTGTTGTAATTCTCTCCCGAGTAATTACGACAATTTACTAGACATACTCTCCCGAGTTACGCTAGCTGGCTTTAATTACAGCTCACTTAGATCGCACCCAAAGTTTCGTTATCCCTAATCCCACCTTTAAACCCTTGGTTATTGATTCCTCACATACGTCAGGAGTGATGTTGTTCAAGTACTACCTAAATATGCACTATATCCCGAGTAATACATACTAAATAGGAACAGCTAATTGAGGATCTTATCAATTAACTACAACAAGAACGTAGTTGAACAAATAGAGATTATACTACAGCTCAATTTTATCAAAACATAACAAGAATTTATACTAAAAAAGGTTCCATCAAAACCCTAGATAACAAATTATCTATTCATAATAGTATGTAAAACTACAATACTAAAAGTCATAACAAACAATGAAAAATAGGAAGAGGAAGGAAAAACTCGTAGAAGAATTCCCCGCCTTGCTCCTATTGTGTCTCCTGCCTTCTTAGGTTGAATTTGTGTCAAAATTATGTCCAACCTCTCAAAATAGCATTTTTACATGTATTTATACTAAGTAGGGTCTAGCCCAGACGAAAAAACCCTTTCGTGCGCGAACTAGGACATCGCTCTGTAAAAGTTGAACAGTTGCGCCGCACCATGCAGCGCGTTAGTGCATTTTATCAGCAGCCTCACCTTTTCGCATCACGCAGCATTTTACACTGCTGCGCCACGCCTTGCGGTGCCCTATGCGGTGCAGCAGTGTAATTTTCTCAGAGTGAACTTATTTCGTCCTCTTTTAACATCCGGACTTGGTACATGACCTCCGAACACGATCTCTGCTTAATGTATTAGGCTTTTACTCATACTTCAAAGCTCCAAATTAACTTTTGAGCTCAGGATCACTTCCTGCAAGGCATAAAACACGTACTAAGTGCAATTCACTATCATTTGAACTCAAATGTACGTAAAAATGCAGTCATTGACATGTAATACTACGGCTAAAACACGAGTTTCTAGCCTAACATCAGCACCCATACCTAAACCATTGCTCATCCTCGAGCAATCAAACTACACTTTATATAGACACGAGTTTTTTAAACAATTTTCCTAACTCATCACACTAAGAATATTTAAAATAGACTAAGCACAAAAGCGTAACATCTTCACCTCAAGATTTGACTCACAAGTACCTCGCATTATTCACAACTCACCCACTTACTATAACGTAGAGATCACTGATATTACCTTTCCTTCATGAATCAAGTGCCCTCACACAACAAAAAAGAGTAGTTCCACACAATAAAATATAGGAGCACTTAGGAACTCAAGATAGAAAGAATTCACTCACTATCAGAAATAACATTCTTATGCCACAAAAGATGCACCATAGGCTTGCCCGTAGTGTATTACTCTACTAATCGAGTTCATTCAGTCTAGGATCAAATAGGACTTTATTTGGTTGTAATGTAGGCTGCGAGACGGGTAGGATACATTTAGATAGAAGAGTGACTACACCTCCCTAAGCACTTTAATACATATACTTTAACATTCAAACCTCATACTTATGTCAAACCAAATTCCGCCTTCACATCAATGTATTTTACACCATACTTCTTTAAGCACAAGCACAATTACATCAAGAGTCACCACTTATCAAGGAAATTTTTTTTCACAACAATACAACTTTTGTTTCCTTTTCTCTTTCTTTTTTATTCATGTGGCTCTTATTTTTTCAAAATAGTGAACCTTTCTCCTTATTTCATTAGTTCCACTCAAAAGCCAAAACAACCACCTCACACTTTAACTTTTACACAGTTCATAACAATTCAAGTGCTCATAAGAGGTTAAAAGGTTCAAATAGATGATTAATTCAAACAAATGGGTAAGGCTTGTAATGTGGTTGGCAAAGAAACAATATTAAAGGCTCAAATGGGTTAACTACGATACATAACAATTAGATGGGTAAAATATACATATCTAGCTCAACAAAGAAATGCCTATATCACTTCCAAGACTGAACAAAACTACTATTTCTCTTTACAAACACACAGGGCAAGTTCTAGTCAAATGCAATGCACTGAATAACGCAAAACCTTACACACACACGGCACATAACTCACTCAAGATTGGATTCATCAAGACACTCTAGTCAAAATAGTTAAGCAAGTTAAAATCATATAATTTAAGGTACTTATACAAGAGTCAAAAACTAAGCCTAAGCGTCACAACCAAAGTACTCACTATTCTCAAGGCATAACAAAGTCAAGAGATATTGTTTCATTTCAAAACACAACACAATGGCTCCTACTCCAAAAAACTAACTACACCCGGTTTAAATAAAACCCTTGGAAAAGAACCGCGGCACAAAAAAAAACCAAGGGGAATTACTACACTATCTACAAATAAAATCTTTTTGTCCTTTTTTCTTTAGACTTAAATCCCTCAAGAAAATTGTCTAATAGATCCATCGTCGGGAAAAGTCCAATCTTTTAAAAAAATTATTTAATTAAACTAACACAACTAAAGTAGCATGAAAAGTCACCTAAACAATCTCCTCACCCCACACTTAAAATTGTGCATTATCCCCAATGCATATCATAACTATAAAAGGGTAAGGGAAACTCCCTGGTAGGCCAAAGGTCAAAGAACTAGTAGCTCATGGGGTATTCAGACTTCTCCCAGGCTTGGTCCTTCATGCGAGTACCTCACACTTAGTTCCAACCATCTGGTTTGATGTTGCATCCTCCCAATAGCTTTGCTTTCTATGCTCCTAGAAAATTAAAAATCGACACTACAAACATAAAACAATTAAAAAAATAAAATAAAAGAAAGTAGTAAAGATGGGTTGCCTCCCAACAAGCGCTTGATTTAATGTCGCGGTACGACACGAATCACTTTTTGCCTCCACTTTGAACTTATGAATTGGACCCCTAGTTTTGATTCTGCTCTATGATCATGCTCCTAGGGTGGTCGAACGAATCTGACTAGCCTAATAAAATAATGTAGTATTCTGTACTTCTTGGCCTTTAGATGAGGTGTGTAATCCCGACTTTCTGGCAAGAAGAATTCCAGAATGTAGGCATCTTAGTCCTCATGCCTTGACTCCTCAAGTGGCTCGGACTACTCTATTTCCATATTATCATCTAAACACAAAGTGGAAAAATGCTTGGAGTGTGGACCAATGCGCTCAACTACAAGAACATTGGGACTGTCTACATTCTCAACACTAATGACAATAGAGTCAACTAAATATGTATCCTCAATAACCTTGGTTGACTCTAGTATCTCTTCTACGACATCGACATCCTCAAAATCTAGTTCGATTAATTGTTGGTGTTTTACTCTGGCCTTCTCCTCTAGCTCCTCAATTCTTTTATCTAATTCACGCTATTCTTGGATAATATTCACAATATTGGATTGTTGAGCATTAAAATCTTCAACCAGTTGACTCATGTGAATGTTCAAGTTGTGAATTGTTTCCTCCTGTCTTTCTATTTGCAGTTGTAATGTACTATGTTGTTCTAAAATGCATTTTAACATATCTTCGATCTTCTTTAGGTCAGTTTCTCTGAGTTCTTTGTTCCTATTAACTTCACCAGAAAAAGAAGAACCATCAAAGTAAGGGATTTGGGGAAGGTAAGAAATATATGCACAACCGTGAAAGTGACCATCTTGACCACCTCACATATCACACACATTCCACACATAAGATTGAGTTGGTGCACAAAACTCGCTCTCAAGAATATTTTGATAATTTTGCCCTGCGTGGTTTCCTCCACAATATGCATAACGAGGATCAAAAGTAGAATTACAAACATCAAAACTCTCATAATTCCAAGATACCATGTCTCTCAGATCAAAAAAAATTAAAATAAATAAATAATCAAATACACGAAAACAAAAATAACAGTTCAAACTTGCAACCTAGAAATATGTACACCTACAGCTACATCGTTAGTTCCCCGGCAACGGCGCCAAAATTTAATCACGCCCAACTATGCCTTATAAAAAGGACTGAGCGGTCATTGCAAATATAATCTGGTTTACAAGTCCGGAGTCGAATCCCACAGAGAACTAAGGTTTAGCTACAGCTGTTCACTATCACCAATAAGACAAGCTTGAACAATTCCTAACTTATAGATATTTAGATTTTTGTGTTTAACTAATTAACTATCAAATTAAAATAATAAATTAACAACTAAAGATACTAAGGGTTAAAGACAAGATTAAGGAGGTCTAGAGTTATGATTTCCCCAATTGTCGGAACCCGCTATGTCTTCTATAATTTCGCCTAAGTATTCTCTACCGATCATGAGCTCTCTGCATGTTATAATTCTCTCCTGAGTAATTACGACAATTTACTAGACATACTCTCCCGAGTTACGCTAGCTGGCTTTAATTACAGCTCACTTAGATCGCACCCAAGGTTTCGTTATCCCTAATCCCACCTTTAAACCCTTGGTTATTGATTCCTCACATACGTCGGGAGTGATGTTGTTCAACAACTACCTAAATATGCAC